TGGTGTCTCAGGTCCTCCTGTCCGGGTTAGTGTCAACTCTGATTTGTGGAGGTACCACTGTGTCAGCGCATGCACAAAGCTCCTGAAAGCTGCGGGCTTCAAGGAACGGCTCATGTCGGATCAGCGGAGAGTCGGGTGGGAGCATTGGGGGCTGACAGCTGACGTACGTGAATTGGTGCTGGTCCACAGACTTCCTCCATGAGATCCATCATCACCACATGTCATGTTCGTCAATGCCAATCATGCTCCACGCCCCAAAGTGGTGCACATGAGTCGTTTGTCACCAGCTTCCCAAAGGGAGTTCTGGAAGGGCACCTACTCGTAGTATATCAGCGATTGTCGGAAGATGGTTTGTTGGCACCCCTCGTTAATTGCAGCCTTGACTCCAAAGAGCTCATGCCTGGCAGGACCATACTTGTAGATCAGAGTTGAGTTGTGGCTCTCTTTTGCAGGAGCTCCAAGATAATGCGAAATGGTCGCTGAGCAAGGGCGGCAAGTGACCCTTGCACACTGGTTCCAGAGGGGAGGTTGGGAGAAGCACGTGGGAGAAGCACACAGCTACGGTGAGGTCTTTGTTTCGACCAAAGAAACCAAGGCATCCCCCCCCCCCAAATTGGTCAATACCCCAACCCCCAAAACCTTGACATCCCAGTAGTCCATTGTCTTTGTTTTCAGGGGTCAAGCGAGGTGCCAGTGCTTTGACCGTCCCAAACCTCCAAAACCCTTTCTCACCAAGTCTTTACACCGTGGTTGCTGGTAAAAGATCTATTTCGGACATGCACTAAGGAGGCAGCACATGTCTCCGTGAAGTGCATTGAAATTGAGCAGTCTCAACAAGAACCAAAATCCGGGAATAGTGAAGAAATGACCGTGTCCACTCTGGAGGGGTCTTGCGACGGCTGTATACCCATGTACCATCCATCGATTTGGACAGTCCGAGGAACACCGCCTGACCAAAATGCTGGAAGCTGAAGCGTTTCCGGCGCATGGAACTGGACGAGGGGTGGACTGGAGGAACTTTCGGCGACGAGGGACATTGCTTGACTGGCCATCCAAGTTCTTCGGGGTCACCCCGCGCCGCCGGTGTGGGTCGCCTTCACCAGGTACTTTGTGACCAAGGGCAGCGCGGACGTCATGGCCTTCGTGGTCGGTGGGAAGTTCTCAGCTGAGGTGCGCCCCGCGAAAACGAGGATGTGGGAGCCCGCGGGCGCTGCGGGAGATGTGGACCGAATCCTGGCTGATTTTGGAGATGGCTCATGCAAAAACAGAAAATAACACAGTTACTAGTAGTAATGGCCTCCAACCTAATAGCGATGGCCTCCCCGTACTAGATGATTTTGGAGATGGCTCATGCAATGCCCCCAGCAATTTCTTGATGCCCTCAAGGACCTCGGAGCCTTGGCACATGCAATTGCGGTTATACATTTCTTGAGCTACGCCGACATCCTGTATTCATCACAGATCACCACAGGTATTTGGGTTCCTTCACTTGCTACTACAGGTGTCCCTGAAGAACTTGTCCATCAATGGGGTGTCTTTCGAAAAAAAGGCAGACCCCTGAGCTTGAGCTGTCCATCTCTCCTTGTGGCACAAAGCAAATCTAAGGGGACTCCTGTCGCATTATATACTGCATGTATTGGCACCATGTCTATTAACTTCTAGAGCACACTATAAAGATATAGAATGATATAGATATAGATATAGATATAGATATAGATAGATAGTTTGATGGCTTCTGGCACATTCTAGAGTGTCTAATGGTGGTTTAACGATGTGTTTTCGAAAACCACATCAACTTCAGTTGCGGGAAGCCATCTCTTGAGACAGGAGTCCGGCTTCTCGATCATCGGCGCCCACACCGACTCGTTCGGAGACCCCAAAAAGCGGGAAAAGCGACACGGGAAACACTTTTTCCTTACGTCCTTGTTGGATTTCTATCATATTGTTACTTTGAACACTTATATGTTGTAGCTTCAGAGGGACCTTAGGGCTTGAGTTTTACATTAAGATTATTAAATACCTGACATGGTCACTTCGAAGAACCTGGTCATTTTCTCTGTTGCTGCGCCACCGCTACTTTTAAGAGACACATCACACACTGAAGATGTTCAGTACTGGTACTCTCCAGCTTCATGGTGTCCCAATGAGTTTGCACAAATCCTAAGGCCTTGCTTGCGCTTGCGGCCAAACAGCAAGATGTCTTCGGGCGGCATGCTGCAGGCCCTCACCACCATAGACTGTTCGAGCTAACGATATTGAAGGCCTGGAGAAGTGGAGCCCTGCGCGTGATGGCCCGGAGTTTGAGAACCCTCTTGACGCTGAAGAGTCCACAGAAGCGTGCCGGAAGGGCGAAGTCTGGATTGCGTATGTCTTGGCCTTTTGGTGAAAAGGCCTGCGTTCTTATGGCTTGACCACCTGGCCAGTTGAATGGGATCAAACCAGCATGTCCGACCTTCCATAGTTTCCCATTCGACCGCTTTTGCCGCTGCACCAGGTGGGCATTCAAACCTACGGTGGTGGGCCTGCTCCCCAGTGGTGTGGTCTGGCCGATGTCCATTTCTTTCGTAATTAGGGTATGACAAACTTGGTGATTCTCTGAAACCCAGTCACAAGAAGGGCAAACCCCTGTGTTGGTTCCCTTGCGTTTGCTTTTAGCCAAGCAAATTCATATTCAGCTCCTTTGCATTGGTCATGAGGTACACGGTACACTCCAAATAAAATCCAAAAAGGCATTCTTTGTTGAGGTTATTTTGTCCAGGACACTTCACCGTGGAACACAGAGAATCTGGGCCGTATTCATTTTGAGTGGCAATCTTTTGGCTCATCATCCTATGCACTTGGGCCCCTTGACCCCTCCGACTCTAGCAACACCAAAAACCTCGAGTAAAACACCAACTCGCCCTTACTAAACCTAGACTTGAAGTGACGGAGCGACAAACATCGTGCACTTTCCCAATCAAAATAGACGGGGCCAGGTGTGTGCGAATTTTCGAGGCAAAGCCATCCCAGGCCCCCGAAGCAGGGGCAGGGGCAGCTCTTTCGCTTGAGATTTTCGGACTACGGGAGCCGCACGAAGCGCTCATGCCCAGGCTGTGGCACACCTGGTTCGACCGGCCCTTGGGCTTTGCTGGGAAGGTGCGTAGACGGAACTATTATCATTTTAGGTAGATAGGTGGAGAGACAACTAGAGGAACCTTGACATATTCTGGAACTGTTCAATATGTTCCTGTGCACCTTCGTGTCACATACCTGGTTTGGCTGTTCCCGGGCATTTGCTTGCAGCGTGAACTTTCTCTATACACATCCACATCATACTCAGCTAGGAGTGGACATCCATCCCGCACGGAGCAATCTGGTCCTTCTACCAGCGAAGCCTTTCAATCTGAGAGGCTTAGGATCTAACCAGTCCATCAAGACTCTTGTTCATGATGCTCAACCATGCGATCATGGGCGGTTTGTGATCATTGTGATGGTTTTCAGATTCGGATACCAAACAGTCTCCTTCCCGGTTGGAGTGTCAGGTGGTCACAAGGGCCTCCGATGGGAAGCTCTCTGAGAAGTTGGTTCGTGTCACGGATCCAGCCACTGGGCAGACTGGGTGACGCGCCTTTCGTTTGGGATGGAAGAAGAGGAAGAATGACCTGGAGGAAAAGGAAGATGGGGTGGGTGAGTTTGTGGGGAAGTTTGGCTCGACAGAAGGACAGAAGGACCAGACGGACGCCCCAGCGCTACGACCAGACGGAGCAATTTTGTCCACCTTTGGCTCCACCTTACGCAAAGCACGACGAAGAGGTCACCCAAAAGCTCCAACAAGTAAGGCTTTGACGATCTCCCGGCACTTTGAAATAGCATATAAGCGACCTGAGCTCTTTGTTGTACTGGTAGGCCGTTGAGCTGGGTAGCGTTGAAACCAGCGCTAGTTGATGGACAAGCAGCTAGAATGGGTAAAACCCAGCCACATGTGCAAGGTACAGACATGGGTTCCGCAAGCCAGGATCCCACTTGAACGCTTAAGCAGGATGACACGATTAACCTGAGGCAAGATGATCGATAAATTTATAATGCTTGAACATGCTTGAACTGTTGCTTCTCTCCATGGTGATCACTCCCTGGCCTTCGCGGCCTCACCGAATCCTCCAAGGCTGAGTGTTCTCCGCAATTCCACAAAGGCTACCCCGCGGACTGAACTAACAAGGCCGCCGACCTGACAGCGTCCAGTCGACTCGACAACTCGCACGCAAGGTGATGATCATCCCGAACTTGGCCATCCACCTGCAGAATGCCGATGAGCGAAAGGTTCGTCGCTCGAAATCCCGGGCGGTGTGGCGCACCTCTCAAGGGTTGCGGGGGGTGAGTGTGGGGTGGAGTTGCTTGGATAGTGGGCAGTGGCAATGAGATGGAACTCCAATCTACTACTCTACTCATTGTTGTCTGAAATCAATCCTGGAATCCACGAGAATCAGCTGATCCGAGTAAAGTAAAGTCTCATTGTTCGTTCCCCAAAATTTGTCAAGCAGTACTAGTTATGGTGCGGCCGAAAAGAGATTGGAAGAAATGCCGCATTGAGATCGAGGACCATGATTCAGACACACAGAAAACATTGAGGCCAAGAACTTGCTTTAGTGTTCTGTAGTCGTTCTTGCAGGATTTGATTAGGAGAACTGTGAGGCTTTCTGTGTTCCAGTAGGAGATCCCAACCAGCTTAGCGGCTTGTCCGTAGGGCCCTAAGGTCCCGGTTGCGATGACCTCAAGGCCTGAGGCTTCCGTACGATGAGGGTCCTCTCCGCACCGTGCTCCGCACCGTGGGATTGGCTCGACTGAAGGCCGAAGCGCGAAGAAAACCTGAGAATGCCTCCAAATCCATGTTGAACGGAGCTCAAGCAATGGATGAGATCAACAACACGGATTGAAGAGATGACTCACCTGAAGCCTCAAACAACGATGGAAACTGCTCAGAATGCCCACATTCTGAAAGAGATGCCTTGGATGGGGATCCAACCCGAGAAACCGCCGAGAAAGTCGTAGCCAAAGACGGGTACTGCGCAGTGCTGCCATGGGACAAGCGGGGCGACCCGGACGTCGAGAGGTCACTTTGAGGGAAATGCAGGTCACCAGGCAACCGAGCACGACCATACTAGTAGCGATGCCCTTGTTCCTAGTAGCGATGCCAGGAGCTACTAGTAGCGTCCTTGCTCCTAGTAATTATGTTCCTGAGACCTGGCAGAGTTCACCTTCCAGATTGTTTGTTTATAGCCTTTATAGCATGCTCGTTGGGAGTTGCATGCTGGCCTTCTCATCTTGATATCTGCATACATCTCGTGGTCTCAATGCATGAGTACCATGGAAGAGGGCAGGCAAGTCGGCTTTTTGAAGAATTTGAGCCTCATCTCCACGAAGCACATCCAAGCAGTATTGATGTTGGTCTGTAGGATAATTATAAGAGCAGTCGGGGTTTTCACAAATGGGTACAAACGGCAAGAACTCAAGGGGTAAGGTCATCGATGCAGATGGATCTCTTCAATAGCTGGGAGGTTTAAGAAATTCACTCGAGTTGTTTTGGTCGTACACGAAGAGAACCATAGAAGAATGGGCCTGAACTCATGAACTCATGTTGAAATCACCCCGAATGAATCAAACAGTCTTTGCGTTTCATGACCCTGCGCTTTGGCTTAGAAAGACAGAGAGTCAAATCATGGAACCTGAAAGGCAACAAGGAAGGAAGAACCTGGATCTCACTTTTTGATTGAAAGGATGATTGGGCCACCGATTAGTATGCCTTTGTTTATCCATATATAATATATACACATGATTCACAACTCAAATGCATGTTTCCCGTTCACAAAGCATGCAGCCCCTTCGGTCCAGCACGACGCGAAGCGCCATTGTTCCAGTCATAACATGCCAGTCCCATTTTGTGCCGAACTCTTTCAACAGCGCCTTGAAGCATTGGAATGGACCTGGCGCTCGCCATGGACAGTCCTCTGGGAACGCCACGGTGTTCCCAAAACCGCGCGGCTTCGAGGCTTTTGGACTCCTTGGACCCTGGTGTCTAAAGGGACACACCAGATGTGATGAAAATCGAGATGGGTCCTTCCATCTTATGGCGGTGGCCTCCAACCTAACTGCGATGGCCTGCAACCTAATAGCGATGGCCTCCAACCTAATAGCGATGGCCTCCAACCTAATTGGATGCTTGCATCCATTTGAAGACCTTTCAACTTCTAGGGTTTAGAGTTGATGAATGCAAGGTTGAGCAACGCTGTGCATGAACACATCAACACAGCAATCATATCCAATGCTTAGCTTTGACGTCAATTCGCCAAACATGTTTTGAAACAAGCACCTGGTTTGATTGACATACAGATGAGGATCTCAGCTGTGCGTGGCTTTAATCTGATACATTTCTTAGCGAAACCCGGCGCACTGGTCGAAGCTTCGCACAACTGGAACGAATCGAAGCTGGACAGCAGGCCTTCAAATAGCTAGGCGGGCGCCTCTTTTGCGAAGTGATACTCCCCGTCGGGGTGCAACTTGCGTTTGCTGCTGGAGTTTTACACCACCTGTACAACAAAAAGACATCCAAAGATGGGAAAGAACTGAAGCGGATCCTTAGCTCTCAATGCCAATTCTTTTCTTGCCCGCTCCTACTTAATCAAGTAGGTGCCTTAGGTATGGGAGAAGTAAGCTACTAGGAGAAGTTCGCTCCTAGCTAGGAGGCAGGATAGCTCACGCTTCTTCAAGCAAGCTCCCCCCACCTGAGGGAGGGGGGGCTTCCTTGAAGAAGCACTCGCACTAATCATTTGGTTCCTAGGTCTTAAGATAAACTTTTGTCGTCCACTTCCTGCTTTGACTTACATTTACTTTTACTTTTCCCTTGTAGAGAATTTGGTCATGCTTGTTGAGCTCATGATCTCCATCCAGGGCTGGTGACTCCCTGAGTGAACCCCCCACACTCGAGATGTGGTGCTCCCAGATCCTCTTCGTGCAGCTCCAGCCGGAGCAGCAGTTGCAGCAGTTGTGGCTATGAGGTTGTGGTTCAGGCGCCGGAAAGCTGCCAGAAACGTCTTCACCGCGATATGGTTGGGTCGCAACTCTGGAAAACTTGAGGTGATGTCCTTTCTAGAGGGTGTAGAGTTTTATACCTGCGACTGAGCTTTTCCATGAGGGTCAAAGACGATTGCCGGATTTTGGGTAGCCTTGAAGATTTCAAAGACCATGGCTTTAACAAAGCACCAGAATGCGAGAGTGTGCCTTAGAGTGTGCCTTAATTTGAGTGGCATTGCTCACGCGGCAGACTTGAGTGATCGGATCTTGAGTCCAACGGTCATTTACCAGGACCAACCGCCCCCCAAGGAGCCAGGAACAAAGGTGTCTTCGCATGTCTTTGATTTTCAGGCGATGAAGTCTGAAAAGAAGCCTGACGAGGCCCGCGCGGCAGGGGGGTGCTTTGATTCGCCTGGCTGCCATGGCTGCTACCTGGCTGGGTTTAGGGATGAAGAAGTGAGTATGGGATGAGTTGAGTAGAGGGATGGATGAAGAGTGCAGGAGACACATATCATGAAACTCGAGCCTTGGAGACGTGACATGATCACTCGAGCGATCCTAGCCACACCTGGGGATAGCAAGGGTGAAGAAAGATTGATGGCTTTCAGTAAGACAATCAATGGCCGATATGGAGATGACGGGAAGTGTTGGTGGTTTGACTACTGCAGGTCCACTGTAGGTGCTTTTACAGCCGTTAAACCAAACAAGGCAACATTTGGATCTTTTATATAACTTAATCAATGTTTTTCACCTTGATCTTGGTGGCAACCGACCATTCCATAGACAGTATAAAGAAAATGCCTCAAGTTTGTCTCCTTCAACCGAGAATATCTCAGTTCCAGACGCAGTGGCTATGTCGCATCTTCTATCATCTCCTTCATGCCTGTCAGCCTGTCTAGCTGGGTTTGAAGGGCCCTCAATGTGAGGTTTTTAACTCTTCGCAGGCCTCTCAAGAGCCTGAAGCAAAAGGCCCGGCTGCTGGGGCTGGAGATGTTCCTTTCCCAATGCTGGGAGCATCCGGTACACCCATATGTTTTTTTGTTTTCTCGGTCTATCATTAAATTGTCTTTCCATTTCTTCATCGATCCCCCTGTTTGTCTTGCATAGCATACGGACATGTTGAATCTTTTTAATCCTTTTGCCATCTTCATTTTCTTCCCTTTCAATCTTCCAGATTTCCAAAGTCCGATTTCCGATCTGCGGATTTTCAGAGCTTGAAAGCCAAGATCTGGCCTATTCCAAGACGGGAAGGTCCGGATGTCAAGACACACAGACGTGTTCGATTTGGAGGGTTCGGAATTTGTGCGAAGTCCCCACTGATCAGACACTTCATCGCATCAGAAGTCCCAGTCATTCTTCAGCTCCACCTGGAGGCCACCGGGTGGAGACCTTTGTTCGTTGGCAGGTGTGGTACACCGGGTGGAGCGGCGGGCCGGTGGAAGGTTTGAGGTGGATGTACGGGGATTAACCTGAATAAACCGTATTGCTTGGGTTCATGTACAGAAATATCTCAGATCATTGATTCGGTGGAAATCCTATTTCTTTGGATTCACGGTAGCTATTTGTGTTGTTTGTTGAGGGGGGTGTAACTATTTTGATAGTAAACCCTTACGTGGCCGTTGCTTTCCCATGAAAGAAGGAATCACGCCTTGTTCGGGGAAGGAAGGGCCAGAACATTAACATCGCTTATTCTGAAGACATGTGGATACTGGATGACTGTTGGTGATAGAAGAATACTTTACTTTTTTGCACCGGTTTGGCTTGATCAACTGCCAACAGGATTGCCTGCTTGATCCTTTTCCTCTAGCTGGATCTTACCCGCACCCGAGTCCAACTTTCTAAAACAACTTGGTCATTTATCCTTTCGCAACTTTCTAAAAATTCTTCGATCATTGGGGTGATTGTGGCTTGGCTGAATGGCGACATCGAACTTCCAGTCCACCAGTCCAGCAGAGCCTGGGCAGGACCCTCAGGGCCGTACTGGCCGCGGCTTCCGGCGTCCCGGTGTGGTTTGGGTCGCCCAGATCGCGTTGCCATCAAGGGGTCCGACGACCGATGCGGATGCACCGTTGGGCGGATATTTTCCACAGCTTCAGATGTCTACGGAGACATACGCTCGTGCTTAGTCTCCTTGTTACTAGTAGCTTCTTGCCACTAGTAGTAATGGCCTCCACCCTAGTAGCGATTGCCTCCAACCTAATAGCGATGGCCTCCAGTAGCATCCTTGTTACTAGTAGCAATACGCTCGTGCTTAGATCTTTTCCCTAAGTGATGGCCATGAAGAAGTAACAGCTAGTCGTGATCGGGCGACTCATAGCAAAGATATACCACTTTCCGACAGTCCAAACATGAATGAAACAGCCTCATTTTGAACCTGTCAACAGTCGCTATCTCTATTTGTCTCCGACTAGACAGGATTTTGCTTTGAGACTTATCCTCGTCTGCAGGAAATCTCTGCCCTCGAGCAGAAGCTCCTCCACGACGCAGTGAAAGAACGGTGCTCATGCCATGGTTGAGGGTGTTGTGTCTCATGTGTGTATGGCGTGTCAGCAAAGAACGAGAGGTGTGAGCTGGGATTGCACCTCCAAGCTCCTGACTAGATAGCCTGCTTCTGCACTTTCGTTTTTGATACCCAGAGAGTAATCAGGGGGGTGCAATGTCTCCTCGTAGTCATGCCCTGGGGGCTCAGAAGAAAACCCTTTGCACACTGAATATGAGAGATTTCCTGATCAACCAATGTTTGAGCTCGTGGACTCAGGGGTAAAGAGGAAAGATGATGCAGCCAACTCCTTGCAAGCCAAGCTCTATGGTGCAACCAGAAGTATCAGGAATCAAGTGACGTGTCCACTCAAATCTATTTACCCAATCAGGCATATGTTGTATCCCTTCAAATCCGCGCTGTGGCTCTGCTCGTCTCAGAAAAAGAACTCTTTGTCAGGGTCAACCAACTCTGCTTGCCTAGCTACACCGCCAGCAACTGGGCTGAGAACGATCACTGGAGGATTATGTCCCAATTGT